CACCCTATAGCAAAAAAAACTCTTAAAAAAACGACAATCGTCATGTGAACCACAAAAGAATCAAAAGCAAATTCTTATGGATTTGAGCTAGGCTTGTGCCGTGTCATTATCGACTTTGTCCACCAGACGTTGAGCTCAGGAGAGCAGGGACTAGGTTTTTGCTCATCTCTGTTTCCCAGTGTCAAATACAGGGCTTGGCCTAATAAATTATTTACTGTTCATGAAGAACTAACATTCCCGGCTTTGCCACCTACAGGCTGTCTGATCTTGGACTGGACACTTTTCTGAGTTCTGTTTCTTACTGTGTAAACTGAGGGTCATGACGCCTAACTTACAGAGTCCAAGTTCGCCCTTGCCAAAGACGCCCTCCGGATCCCCTTCTCTGTGTTACAGCTTTTCTGGGCCCCATTTGCCCCACAGCTAGCCTGAATTCTTAGGTGTCCAGCCTAGGCAGAAGCCTAAGACCTAGCACAGCCCTGTAAGTTTAAGTGGAATAGACGCCCAATGGATTAATGCACAGGACTCAGTACTAGTCATTATTTTTGCTATTACTAATAGTTGTTCAGTGTTTAATAGAAGAAATAAGACTTATCAAAGTATCATGCTACAATAAAGCAATGCTATGAAACAGGCACAAAATTGTATAAAAATTTAAAAAGCTAATTTTGTTTTATAAAAATTTTTTAGAGAGAGTTTTGCAATAGGACACATGGGCTCACCAGAGAGACAGGGGGAAGGGCATCTGCCCTTCTCAATTCTCTTCTCAGAATTTTGGACATGTACACACACATGCCCAGCGTGAGCTTAAGCTGCTGGGTCCAAGACTTGAACCACGGTTGACAGGGAAGTCCAGCGACATACCCATTATGCCTTCTGATGGTCTCAAAAAAGCTAATTTCTGAAGGGTCAGGAAAGGCTACACAGGAAGTAGATTCCATCCTGCCTGCAGATAGATCGGTTCCTATAGGTGGAATCGGAGAGGGAAGAACACTATAGGAATGAACCAAGTCACCCAGCATGCCTGAGCTTACTGGAGTTAGAACGAAGTCAACGACATTCGGCAATTCTCCTGCGAGGTTTGGTCAGCTCCCTTTCCCGTCCTCCCCAGTGAACCTTCCATTCTCCTCTCTTCAAACCCCACTAAGAAACGTCTATCTCTGTACTCTCAGCAGAATCTCCTTCCTTGCTTTACAAAAGATGGCCAATAAGCGTGACCTCCCTGCATTTACAGGAGGTAGGCTACTCAGTCTGTCCTTCATCTCTTACAGCTCTCTCGTCAGTACTTAATTCACGACAAGTCGTTTTTTATTTTTATTTGTAGAGAGAGAGTTTTGCTACCTGGAACATGTGCGTGCCAGAGAGACAGAGAGAGAAAGTGAGAAGTAACTCCACAGGGGGGATTGGCCATGCTACAATCCATTTTCCTCCAATCTCCTCTAGGGATTTTGGGCACATAAGCACAAGCGCCTGTCGAGTTTCAAGCCACCAGATCTGGGACTCAAACCGCAGTGGGCCTTAACCACTATGGTACCTGCTGGCCCCCACAAGTAATTTAAGAACACTTAATGACAATCAAGCCTGATAACATGTCATCGTTTTTGAAAGAACAGCACTTTTATCTTTTCCTCAAAATGTTAAGACGTTTGACAGAAGGTATGTGTGCTCGCAGGATAGGGAGGCTCCCTGAGACGGGGAGGACTCCCCCACCCTGTGGAATGGTCCCATGTTTTTCAAGTGGCTGGGTCCAAACCATGCAGTCAGCCATGTGGGATCCTGCAGCCTTAACTACTGCACCATGGGCTGGCTCCAATGAATGGAACTGGTGGATAAAATACCGAGCGGCTAGTTATTTCCCAGGCAAGGACTCTGCAGGCAGCCCTGGCTGGATCGCCTGCCCTCACCTTGAGCTCACCAGGCTTCTTCTCTTCGGAAGACTTGCAACGAGTGATCTCCTGCAGCTTCTGTTCCAGGGGCTCCAGGCACTTCTGCAGCTTCTCCTGAGTGGGGAGAAAGTGGGAGGGGACATTTAGGGTTGGCTGGGACAGCCATCACCGAGGTTCACGCAACTGTTTTAAACCATGTGTTAGATTTCTATCCATTTCACCACTTCTGCATCCAACTCCCTTCCTTGCCTGCCACTTGGGACGTCGCCTTTTTATAGTTTCCTCATCCTGCCATCAGTTTGCCCCCATCACCCTCCCTGCTCACCCAACTTTTAATGAATCCGAGATTTAGGTGTTACCAACCCTGTTCTTCCCCAGCCCTGTCCTTCCCCAACCCTGTCCATTTTCTTACTAAGGCAACTGACTCTTAATGTCAAAGTGACCTTCTGAACCCTAATGTCCTTTAAACTGATCCTCTTATCCAATTATTATTATTATTTTTTT